CACACACACACACACACACACACACACACACAAAAGAAAGGAAACGCTAAACAAATCGTGTCACGCGCCACAGCCACGTGGTGCGATCTCGAGCCTTCATCCCCCCCTTCCCCGCCAACATTTCCCCCTCCCCCATGTCTCTTTCCTCCACACACACACAAACGAAACGGAAAAAAAAGGAAACAAAAAACAAAGATTGTGTCACGGGGCACGATTTCACCTCCCCCACCCGCCACCGAATTTTCCCTAACCCTGACCCGTACCCCCTTCCCCTTCACCCATCTCTCTCTCTCTCTCTCTCTCTCTCTCTCTCTCTCTCTCTCTCTCTCTCTCTCTCTCTCTCTCTCTCTCTCTCTCTCTCTCTCTCGTTCTCCTTCACACACACACAAACGGAATGGAAAAAAAGGAAACAACCTTCCTCCGCCCGCCACCGAATTTTCCCTAACCCTAACCCCCTTCCACCTCGCCCATCTCTCTCTCTCTCTCTCTCTCTGATACATGCCCTGTTGGGCAATGTATGTACAGCCAAGGATCCGCAATTGTGATAAAAAGGACTGAACGGACAATGCAGTGGTAGTGGAATCTCAACAAGCAATGTTCATCCTGATACATACAAAACGGCACTTCGTAGCGCAGTGGAAGACTCAGATATAAGTCCTGACTTGACCGGGACTGACACCGCATCCCATTATATATCACCCATGTGAGAGGAGGAGGAGTTACTAAAGTGTTGCATACCGTAATGGTGCAAACCAGAATGAGGACCTCCCTCCCTCACATAGTACAAGACAGCGCAGCGGAATGCTAGGATACCAATGATCAACCCAATTAATGTCGCAATGCAGACCCAACATCCATCATCATCGTTGCAAGGTGTGAAGGGCCTGGCGCTACACACAGGAAGAATGCGCCAGGTCCGGACCATACACAGACAAAGAGGAGGGGATCAGACGAAGAAGAGGCGGAACATGGAAATGTCGTCAACAGCAAGTCTTCGGTACAGGTCCCAAATAATCCCTCGTTCAATGTCTCAATCCCAATGTCGAGTCTGAATCCAAACGCCGTCAATCCCCAAATTCACCAATCTCTCTCCCTCTCATAGTCTGCAGATACTGAGAAGTCAGGTAGCGAGAGGGCGAGGGAGAGATGGACTTAGAAGAGGAAGAAGAAAAATTGTCTCTCTCTCTCTCTCTCTCTCTCTCTCTCTCTCTCTCTCTCTCTCTCTCTCTCTC